GGCCTTTCCCCTGTTAGCGTGTCAACTCTAACCCCAATGTGACTGTATTTGGAGATGGGGCTTTTAGGAGGTGATTAAGGTTACATGAGGTCATAAAGGTGAGATTCTAATCAAGGCCTTAAGAGAAGAGGAAGACAGACCTCTCCCCCACCCGCTCTCCTGTCATGTGAAACTCAAAGGAGAAGTTGCCTATCTACAAACCCAGGAGCATCCCTCACCAGAATCCAACTAGGCTGGCACCTTGATCTTGAACTTCAGCCTCCAGAGCACTGAGAAAACCAATTTCTGTTGCTTAAGCCATCCGGTCTGTTGTATTTGGTGATGGCAAGCTGAGCAGACTAACATGCTAAACATGCTAAACTTGTGGAGTTTTGACACCTACATGATCATGCCCAGTGACCCTGGAGATGACTCTGAATGGTGCCTGGCCCCTCACGTGGGCTGGGTCATCAATGCAAGGCTACCTGCTCTATCTCCTCCAGGATAAAGAGACTGTGTGTGTCCTCGCCCACCTCTCCGGGTCCTGGTGTGACAGTGGCCTACTTTTGCTTTGAAAATTGCCCTTGCTGCTCTGCCACTGTGACTTAAAAATGGGCATATTTCTTTCTCTTGCTATCTCCCTCCTCCTCCCTAACCTCTCCAATCCTTAACCTCAAGGGAAATAGGTGACCTTTCTTTCCCCATCCTAGACAGAGTTATCTGTCCTTGAGCACAAACCCACCACAGGAATGAAGTAATCCAGTTTTTGGGGATGGAACCAGAAGATCTCAGAAGTGACTCTCTCCTAAATTAACAAGTAAATTACAACTCCAGACAGAATGCGTGGAATGTAGCCTTTGAATCACCTCTCCCTTAATGGGAGAATCACAACCTCTGGGACAGGAGTCCCCTGTTCTTCTCCTTTGCTAGAAAAGCTATAAAACTTATTTTTCCTAACTAGGTGTGGTGACTCATGCCTGTAATCCCAGAGGCTTAGGAGGCTGAGGCAGGATTTCGAGTTTAAAGCTAGCTTCAGCAACTAAGCAAGACCCAGTCTCTAAATAAAATACAAAAAAAGGTTGAGGATTTGGCTCAATTGATAAGTGCCCCTGGTACAATCAAAAGAAAACAAACAACCTGTGTCTTTCTTATTGGATTGGCATTGGGGACAAGTACCAAACTTTCAGGATCTCTAAGGAGGGCTTCTTTCAGCACCCCTTCACTGTCTTGTTTTAAATAATTTTAAATTATACTAAGAATGCAGCCTCCTTAGCTAAAGGATGGAATCAGCCTAGGTGCCCTTCAACAGGGCATAAAGAAAATTTGATACATTTACACAATCTTATACTACTCATCCATAGAAGACAAATGAAATTATGCCATTTGCTGGTAAATAGATGGAACTGGAAACTATCATGCTAAGCATAATAAGCCAAACCCAAAGAACCAAAGGCCAAATGTTTCCTCTGATATGTGGATGCTAAATCACAATACGGGGAATGGGGTAGGGAAGATTAGAAGTAATTTGTGTTAGATACAGGGAAATGAATGGAAAGGAGAGGGGAATTGGAATAGGAAAGATAATAGAATGAATCCAACATTACTTTCCTATGTGCATATATGAATAACATAATGTAATTCCACATCATGTACAACCAGGAGAATGGGAAGTTATAATCCTAATATATGTATAATATGTCAAAATACATCCTACTATTATGTATAAGTAATAAGAACAAATAAAAAAAAAAGAAACTTGAGAGAAAATTTAAGTCAATGCAACCTGAAGCAGAATCTGCTAAGATGTATTATTGTAATTGATGGTGGTGAAAATATTTGTGAGTAGAAAGAAGAATTGGTTAGAAAATTTTACAAAAGCTTGTGAAAATATAAATTATTTAAAGCCTATATTCATAGCTTAATAGCAATATTATTGCTATTATTCATCAGCATGTATTTTATGGAAAATGAATTTATCATGCATTTATCATGACTTCAGATATTAGCTTTTGCTACAGACTTGACACTCTTTCTTAAATAACTCAATTTCAAGCTGTAGGACAATATTAATTATGTACCAACTTTATACTGTGGTAAAATCATTTCAATAAATACTAATATTATTTGAATCAATAGTAATGTGAAGCTGTTTTAAACATTTCCCATGTCAAAAAGTGGAGTCAAGGAATGAGGGCATCGTTTTCCAGGTAATAATATTCTAGTTCTAACTAATCATCTCATTGGGCTTTTGGAATTAATAAGTGAAATGAAAGTTTATTATTTCTTGGGGCAATATAAAGAATGCAGTCTCCATGGAAAAATATGAGGAGACACAAATACAGAGGATGTCTCTTGAGGGGCTGCCTGCTCACATTGATTCCCAAGGGCAGGCACAGGTCCAGCCTGAGGTTAAGCCAGATGAGAGGGTTCTTATAAGATGAAGACAGAATGAGGGTTTGTAAGCCATGCAAATCAGCAAGAACCTATAGGAATGGGACCACTGAAGGCCTCTAAGGAGAACAGAGGCATGGCCAACTTTATCAACTTAGGAAGTTCTGCAGTGGGGAGGGAGAGGCTGGAGGCAGGGAGGATAGCCCGGAGGCTGTCCCTGAGGGGGAAATAGGCTCCTATCTGCTAGTTCAAGGCTTCTCTCCTAGCATGGAGGCTAAGAGCATTAGCTTTGGAGTCAGGCATACCTTCTGCCTCGGATACTTACTAGCTAGGTGACCTTGGAAAAGTTCTTAACTTCTCTGAGTATGAGTCACCTCCATACCAAATGAAAATAAGGATATCCCTGACCTCTGTGGTGGTTATGATTATTAACTACAGAGGTACTTAGTTTACCATCAGTGCTCAAGAAAGTTAGATGCTGCTGTTGTGGAGATGAGCAAATGCCCTCCCCTCCCCCCAAAAAAAGAAAGAAAAGAAAAAATCATCTCTTATCCCACCATCCACCAGAAAACGATTGTTAATATTTTGTGAACATTCTAATTTTTCCCTTGGCAAATTTACCTATTAAAGTAAATTATTATTTACTTTATATTATTATTATTATTACATTTACTATGTTCTATAATGTGCATTCTATATTCTGTTTTGAGGCTTGCTTTCCCCAGCCTCCATGGAAACTGGGAGGTTAGGCCCTCTGATTCAGGGAGCGTGGTCCGCCCAGTCCTCTTCTACCCTCCTCCTCTCCTCTTCCCTCCTCCACGAAGCTCCCTGGCCTCCCTAGCATACAGCAAAGCCCTCTTCTCAGCTTCTCAACTGATGCTGGGGGCTGTGGCTTTGATGCAGGGCCAGAGTGTGGGAGCTCAAAACTGCACAGGCCTCCTCAGCGTGGAAGAGAACTGAGCCCCTGGCACGCCTGCCTCCGGGCCTCCTCCCTTCTCCCAGCTAGCCGGGGCCCACTGAGGCTGTCCAGGGACCTCCCTCTGGTGGGCCTGTTCCCACCTTCTGTTCTGCCCACCGGGTGCCTCTAATCCTGCTCTTCCCATGGATCCTGGGGCTGCTACCGGGGGCTTCCCAGGTGCAGCCACGGCCAGGGCCTACAGAGTCTTTGTGTTGCCAGAGCCCTGAAGATTTCCCTTTTACTGCTTGTGCACATTAAATTCTGGGCCAAAGAACGGGAGACCTTGATTCTAAATCGCCATGTCCCTTCTTGCAGAGTAGCGCTGTCCTTGGGCCCTGTGCCCCTCTCCCCTGTACTGCCTTGCTGCTCAGGGCGCACCTGCCTGGGGACAGGAGTGCCATTAAAGAGCTGGCAGTGAGATTAGCAGTGGAGACCCGTGTGGGTCTTAGGGTCTGTTAGGACAAATTTGGTGGCAGTGGGATCCAGTGTGACAAAAATTCCTGGTCAGGGCTTCAGGATCTGCATTGAAACTCTGCCTCTGGCCCCATCACCCCATTGTGGAGTCCCTTCCCTCCCAGCCTCAGGCTTCCTTTCTGTGCAGTGAGGAGTCAGCCTCTTCCGGGGTTTCTAAGGTTTTGCCTGGTCTGACACAAAGTGTGCCTTCCCTGTTGGTCCCTCAGCCATCACATCTGCCAGCAGCCACCTCGCTGTGGAAAGGGACCCCTCAGGGAAGCGTGGGGCAGGGTTCCTAAGACGTGCCCCTCCCCCCACCATGTTTTTGGTTTTTATGGTTTGCTGTCCTGTGCTGGGTCCAGGACTCTCCATCTCACAGTACTCCAGGATCTGCTGCGTCCTGCTGCGTCCTTGATCAAGCTACAGAACCTCTCCCAGCCTCAGTGTCCTCTCCTATGAAGGAGAATTTAGGGCATTGATTGCACTGGCCTATTTTGAGGATGAAATGAAATGAAGCAGGTCAAGCCCTAATCAGCTCCTGGCACCTGAGAAGCCATCACAGGAGCTTTTACTATCATCATTGTTGCTTTGCTCATTGTCACTCCCAGGCAACAGAGCTGCCCCAGCTACCCTGGTCTTGTAGGGCTAGCCCTCTGCACACTGATGAGGGGCTCCTGTCATGACCTCATACTCCAGGGCGCATTGTGCCAGGAACCCCAGGGAACCATGGGGTACACCTTCATGGGCTGCTAGCCCTTGGCCTGGCACCTGCCCCTGGCCTCCTGCTACTGGCATCAGCCGCACCCAGGCTTACAGTGAAGCATGGTGAAGTGCAGGAGTCAGAGACCTGGGCGTGGGTCACATGAGCATTTCAGGCAAGTCACTGGACCACACAGAACCTCAGATTCTCCATCTGTATAATGAGACTAGTTCCTCCCTCTTACTGATGATTATAGCCAAGTTTTGAGGTTTGCATGAGCTGGAAAGACCTGTGTTCAACACAGGTAGGTTCCTTCCATACACTACCCCGCCCCCATAGACCCTGCCTTTATGTCAGGGACCTTGATCTAGCCTTGAACCAGGGAAGCAGAGTCTTGATCCCATCTTTTTTCTGCCTCCTATCCCAAACACCTTCAGCCCCAGGCTATCCTAGGTCCTGTGTTGAATCAGTCGGGTAGCAGAAAGACTTGGGAAAAACTCACAAGGGAGGGTCACACGCTTCTGCACACCGTTTGTCTTTTAATTAAAAAGAAAACCAAACAACACTTCCCAGGTGTAGGTGATAAAACATCACAGGCATATAATGTAGGTACAAAAACAAGAGCTGCTTTAAAAGACCCCCTGTGAGGGAGATGGAAGACCCCTCCGTTGAGGTCACAGTTTTCTCAGTCAGACATCCCCGGCGCCTGGGCTATAAAGAGAAAATGCCTACTCTGCCACGTTTCTCTCGGAAGACTCAGCACCTCAGCTCACTGGCCCTGACACACACGCGCAGGAAGCTGGACTTTACAAAATTTGCAAGTGGGCAGCACTGGGGTGGGAGGTACAGGTACTCTTGTGGCTGACCCCTGGCTCTGCTCAAGGGCCCTGGGGACTGGGAGATAGACACCTGTATTGTAAATGCTAGATACACTGTCCTCTAGGGACACCTGGGCTGGGCTTCCTGAAGTCCACTGGTGGGTTCCCTCCTTGAGTCGTGGCCAAAAGAATGTCTTGCAGACAAATTGGGACAAGCAGAATAAGGACAGACCAGGACGAGTCAGGCCCGGGCTGGAGCTTATTTTGATGGGCAACCAGAAGGCTCTGGGGAGATTTTGTATAGTTGCCACAATCAGATTCTCACTGATTTCCTTAGCTGCTCCACCAGTTCCTTCATCCCTGCCTCCTTTGGACCAATCTTTGGGGGTCACTCAGATCCAGATTCCACTTCTTGCCCTGCCATTTCCTAGTTTGTATGACCTTGTAAAATAATTTCCTTGAGCCTCAGTTTCCTCATCTGTTGAATGGGAGAGGTTCACGCGAACCTCACAGGATGACTGTAAATAGTGTGACCTCACTCTCTGAGAACATGCACCCAGCACAGAATATGCCCAACAGATGGCCATCATCATTACTGTCATCCAGGCAATGGTGGCCCCATTGCAGAGTTGGTGAGTCTGTGTATAGACGCAATTGTGATAAACAGAAGGTTTGAACAAGATCAGAGGTCTTGGGTCATGGCATGGGGAGGGGAGCTGGCCTGGAAGATTCGGCTGCGTTTCTCTCTGGCATGTCCATGAGGCCCAGGAGCTGTTCTGACCTAGACCTCGGTGCCCTCCCTGGGGTAGAGGGTGCTGTTGGAGTTGATGCTGTTGTAGAAGTGAGGGCTGAACTGGTTGAGGACTGAGCCGCCGTAGCCCAGAGGGTTGGTGGGCATGGGGTTGGCCCACTCGCCCCCGCCCCCGTGGCCACCAAGGTTGGTCAGTGGGGTGTAGGAGTTGAAGCTCAGTGAGTTCTGCCCCATCTTGTCGGTGGGCTCGGGGCTCAGTGCTGGCGTGGCCACAGGGCGGCCCATGGGGCTGGAGCTGCTCACACAGGCTGTCATGGTGGAGAGGAAGCTGCTGAGGCACGGGGTGACTGAGGATGGAGGGGAGGACTGCTTCCCTGGGGAGCTGGTGGTGCCCGGTGAGGCTCTGTCCAAAATGTCCTGAGGCTCTGTGGTTGTGGGGCTGCCCGCCAGGAGAGTGTTCTCGGTTTTCTCTGAGGTCAAGGAGCCTGTGCTAGAGGAGACATCGGATTTTCTCTTCCTTTTCCTGCGGAAATTTCCATTGTCGAACATCTTCTCACAGTTGGGGTCCAGAGTCCAGTAATTTCCTTTGCCTGGAACAAAAGTGAGAGAGAGTAGGTACCCGGAGATGGGCAGAATTCCTTCTATGGCTCCTAAAAACAAGGGTGGCAAATGCCGAAAGAAGAGAAGGAAAGCCTGGGACTGAGATATGGAGGAATGTCCCATGCCACCTACCCACACCCGCCATCTTTGTTTAAAGCACCCAGCCACAGTGAGGCTTGGTGGGGGATGGGGGGGACAGGCTATAAGGAAACAGAGGCACAGGGCATGAAGTTCATTACAGGTAGTTCCCCTTAGGAAGGGAGGCTGAGTGCTGGGTGTCCCTGGGGTTACAGGAGAGTCTGTTGGTCATGGCTTGGGGAGGGTGGGGAGGGCAGGTGGAATAGTGGTCAAGAGCTTCCACGGCTGAAGTTGAAGAAAACTCAGGAAGAATTCAGGACTCCCTGGGAGTCGTGGGCATGGAGTCTGAAGACAGACTTGAGTCCTGGCTTTGCTCCTAACTTTGTGTGAACCTCAGTTTCCTAGTCTGACAAATGGGCATATTGGACCTATCCCCACTTCCTGAGGCTCACCGTGGGAAGGACAGACACTAGGTGTGTTAAGGGCCTTGTAACCAGGAAGTGCCATTGGAGGGACAGCCTGAACTACTCCTGCTGTGGTGCCTTTGCTGGGGGGTTGGGGTGGTCTTTGAATAGGACACTGGCCCTCTTCTGCAGGGACAAACAGACCTGGCCAGTGCTAACTTCAAAGAGAGCAGAGCTGGGGTTCGTCTGAGCCCTACCCTGGCTTCCTATGGTGGAACAACGTGGACATTCATTTTGGGAAATGGAGCCGTGAAGATTTAATACATTGCTCTGCAAGTCTCTGGATTTTGTAGAGCTTCATCTTTACAAAGCAAAATTCACAGCCTCTGCTGTCAGACCTGCTTTCAAGATCAAGTCCAGCACCACCCTTCATCCTCTGTGACCTGAGGAGGCAAGCTATCTCAGCTCTGAATGTTATTTTCCTTATCTGTAAAATGGCTTTAATAGGAGCTACCCTGCAGGGGAGTTGTGGGGTCAGAGGAGAGTCTGTGGGTGGGGAGGGAGGCTGCACCATGGGGCCATTCACAGTTGCTCAGACAGGCCAAAGCCTCTGCTGGCAGGATCCAGGCCCATTCACCAAAGGCTCCCTAGCTCAGGTGCTGGGGACACCATGCATCCTAACCACAGCAGCCAGTTAAGTATTTGTTAACATCAAAGACTCTACCTACCTTACCCACAAGACAAGTCACAAAGGGAGACACAGCCACTGTCCCTGTTTTTCAGATGAGGAAACTGAGGCTCAGAGAGCTAACCTGCCCTGCCTCACTAATTGGAACCCACTGAAACCTAAATCTGCCCTCTGGCCCACATTCTCCTCCACTGCTAAGCTCCCTCCAGCCCTGGGACATGGCAGCCCTCCTCAGAACTTTCTAGAATGGGGTTTGGGCAGGATCGAAGGCGCCTTCTTCAGGGCGCAGGAACTGGCTGCAGGGAGCTTCCCTGCCGGCGCTGGCAGCCCTCACCTGGGTCGTCTTCGTCGCGGGGCACCTTCTTGAAGCAGTCGTTGAGCGATAGGTTGTGGCGGATGGAGTTCTGCCAGCCGGCCTTGCTCTTGTTGTAGAAGGGGAAGTTGTCGGCCACGTACTGGTAGATCTGGCTCAGGGTGAGGCGCTTGTCGGGCGCCCCGTGGATGGCCATGGCGATGAGCGCCGAGTAGGAGTAGGGAGGCCGCACCAGCTTCATGAGCTCCTCCTGCGAGGGGATGGGCAGCCAGCCCAGGTCGCTGCCCCCCAGCCCGGGCATGCCGGGCAGCAGCTGGCGCTGCATGCCGTAGGCCTGGGGCAGGAAGGGGCTGGCGTTGGCGCCCGGCAGGTAGGGCGGCGGGGTCATGGCAGGCCCGTTGAGCCACAGGTAGGGGTTGGGGGTGGCCCCGTACTCGCCGCCGCCCTCGAAGGAGGGGGGCCGCTGCGGGCTGGGCACGCCCTGCGGGTGGAAGAAGTTCTCGTAGTAGAGGTTCATCTCGGGGGGCTCCTGGCCCAGGCTGGGGAACTGGGGGCTGCAGCGGGGCGGGGAGGGCGCCGGGAGGTCGAAGGAGCTCATGCTGGGGCTGGGCTCAGCTGGAGCCACCTGCCTGGCACCTGCGCGCACCGGCGAGCTGCCCCTGCCAGGTGCTCGGGGGCCCAGCCTCCGACTTATACCCGCAGGGCTCGGGGGCCCCACCCAGGGGCGGCCACCTGCGGCCCGCCTCCCTGCTCCCGGCCAGCCTGGCCTCAGGCACTAAGGACACACCAGGACAGCTTATTAGAGTGACATTGAAATGGACAGATCCTTTCTTTCCCTTTCTTCCAGGGTTCCTTCTCTCTTTGCCTCCTGTCCCCTCTACATCTTATCCCTGGTGTCTGTCACACTCTTATCTGTGTCTCATCTCTCTCTTCCATCCCCCTCCCCGGACTTGATTTCTTCCTAGGCTGGGCTGCTGGAGCCACAGGCCACCCCTCCTCCTCCTCCTCCTCTCTCTGTTTCTGGTTCTTCTAGCTCCTTCCACTCTGTCTCACCTCCGTGCAGCCCGTCTTCCTCGGCTTCTCTCTCCTGGTCTCATCTCTGATCAACAGCCCCTGCCCTGTTGGATGACTGACCCCATCAGAAGACCCACGAGTCTTGGTCTTTGGAAGGGGAGACACACCGGCTGGAGTGGCCAGGACAGGCTGCCCCGGAGACTGGAGAGGCACCTGGCTTCTGGAGCCTGCTCAGAGTTAGTGCTCAACACCCCCCTCCCCAGGTGGGCAGAGAGGAGCTGCAGTGGACATGCCTAGGGATTCACCCGGGGAGCAGCAGAGCGCTTAAAAATAACATCAAAAGCAGGAGAGAGTGGGAATTGCCCTCTAGGGAGAAATGAGAGAACTTCCAAGTTCAGGTTTCTTTCCAGCTTCAGGGCAAAGCAGGCTCCCCAGCTCCACGTCTGACCCTCTGATCTGCAGTTCTTTCAAGATGCTGCACAGAGGCCCCTGGCATGGAGGGCGCCTGACTGCCCATGCCTTGCCCTCCCTCAGGGCCCCAGAGGCAGGAGCCACAACCCTGGGCGGCTGCCCTGCGGCTCAGTCAGGGCCAGCTCCTCTCCTCTCTGGGCTCTGTTAGCCACCTGAGCTTGTCCCAGCCTCCCTTCCCTCCCCCAGCAGGCCCTCAGCGTGAGGAGTGGGTGGTGGTCTCCCTTCTCTGAGGGTGGGTAGCTGTGCCCTGAGGAGCTTCCAGTAACAGCTGAAACGTGGCTCTGTGATCAGAAGGTTGGGGGAAGTTGGAGCCAGCCTCCTGGGCTACCACTCCCTCCCTCCTGCTTTCCGGCCTCTGCTTCCTGCTTCCCACTCATCTTCGGCCCACTTCCTCTAGATTCTGTATTTCTTTGAGGTGGGAGAGGTGCTTCCCAAGGAATTTGCCCCTCTCTGCTCTCCTGGGCACCTGTGTCAGGACACATGGCAGAGTGAGTACCTCTGGGTGATTTTTGTTTGTAGTGTCTGGGTGCCCTCAGGATGGGTTCCAAGTAACTGGGTGTGTGTTGGGGGGGGTGGTGTTTCCTGTCCCACCATGAACAGCGAAGGAAGGGTCCTCCCTGGAGGGTCCTGGTGCAGGTGAGGTTTAAGGCAAACTTTGTACTCTCACAGAAGAGTAATACAAGAGGGGCAGTTTTTGTTTAGGGTCTCTCTGCCAGGAGGCCTGGCTTGCTATGCATGGGTACATGAATTTTCAAAGAGCACTCACTCCCATTGGCACACACCAGTATACCCCCAAAGCCTGTGCCCAGTGGTCCCGACTCCCAAAGCTCACCTTAAAGACTTAGTGCAAAGAATTGACTGAGGGATGTCCAACATGACCTTGTTCATCACCATGACAAACTATAAGCAACCTAAACGTCCAGCAAGAGCAGATTGGTTAAATAAATTGTGTATTATCTAAATGGTGTAATATTATGCAGCCATGAAAAATAGATCGTACAAGAATAATTAGTGATATAAATACAGCACCATTTTGAGGAGTAAAAGTGTATATCCATCCATCCATATAAAATCCAGAAATAGGTGCATATCAAGCTATCGATTATTATTTCCAGCTGGAGAATTAGGCACTATTTTCTTGTTCTTCTGTAGTTTGATGTGAATATGGAGAAGGCAAGCACACAGGGGCTCTGTCCTTGGAGATGAATGTAGAGGTGTCAGGCTGAGGCCATACGGCAGAGTCCGACACAGCTCTGAGCTGGGGGTTCCCCCGCAGATCCCCTCTCAACCCTGAATCACCATGGAGACCTTGGCAAGGGGTCAGCCCTCCTCAGCCTCTGGCTTCTCACGTGGAGTGGGGGTGAGGCCAGGACTGACCTCACGTGTGGCTGTGAGCATCCGGCAGGATCGTCAAAACAAGTTTTCCCAGGAGTGAAAATCCTAATCTGAGAAAAGACATGCTCTGCTCAACTTCGGGGGAAGAAACAACAGAATCCTGAAGGAATGAAGGAATGAAAGTCTGGGAAAGCCGAGGCTGCGGTTCACAGACTGTGGTCCAGAGGGAGGGCCACATACCCTGAACCCATGCTGTCATCCTGGGGATGAGGCCTCAGGACATTGAAAACATGGGCTTCGTGCCAGATGGAGTGGCTGTAATCCCTGTGACTCAAGAGGCTGGGGCAGGAGGCTAGCCTCAGCAACTTAGAAAGGCCTATAAAATCAAAAAGGCCTTTTAAATAAAAATTTAAAAGGACTGGGGATACAGCTGGGTTCAATACCCAGCACCAAAAAACAAAAACAAAAAACCCAACAGCAAACCCCAAACACCACGGGCTTTGGGATTGGGCAGAGCTGGGTTAAAATCCCTCCTTTGCTCTTTTGTAGCTTTGTGATCATGGCCAAGTTTCTTGATGGTGGAAGGCCTGGGCTTGCTTATCTACAACACAGGGGTGCACACAGCGTCTGTCCCGTGGATTGTGAAGGAAAAGTGCTGTCTGTGGCGTTCAGAGTCCAGGATCTGGCAGGGCTGTGAGGAGGGAGAGACTGGCCGTGAAGGCCTGGGCACAAGAGGCCAGGTACTGATGAGGGAGGTGGCCCTGGGCAGAGGCCCAACATCCCATCCACTTACTCTCCCCTTGGGACACCTTACCATTTGGAGTGACAACCCCAGGAAGGAGGAGAGACCTGTCACTCCTTCTGACACTCAGTGTGTGTGCCCTGCAGTCAGCTGCTGGCAGGGCCAGGTCCAGAAGCCCGGCTGGCTTGAGACCTGCAGAGCGGGGATGGACAGGCCCCACCTAGACCAGCCAACCAGGCCCATCTCCGCTGACCTTGACCTTGGGGGTGGAGAATCCTGCTCTTTGAGAGGCCTGATCTCATGGTGTCCCTGGGGAAGGGGTGCCTCTGCTTGGGTTTTCAAGGACGTTGACTTTATTAGTTCTTAAATAATCAGAGACCCAGAAAGCAGATGCCACTGACCCGGCTGCAGATCACGCAGGAGGCAGCAGAGGCCAGGCCCCGGGGCTCCTACGCACTTGACACTTTATTGCAACCAGTGGCCTCAGTTTCCTCAGTGCTTCCGAGCATGACCTAGGAGACAAATGCCAGGCACGTAGTACATGCTTACTTAGTAAAAACAAGCTCTCGTTAGGGATGCAGCAGCCCCCGGGGAAGGGACATGCTGGTGGGCCACAGCAGCCCCATGCTCCAGACCCTTGCTCCCCTCCCTCCTGATGGACCTTTGATAGAGTTCATAGGCTCTTTCTCCTCTCAACACACGAAACACAAATAGCTTCTACGTTCCCAGGTTCTTGGGAGCCTGGCAGGGTAGAAATAGGTTGGGATGGGGAATCAGAGGATTAGTGACTAATCTCTGTTTGCTCATCTGTAAAATGGGGACAAGAAAGAGCCATTCTACCCATGCCTATAGAGTTCTCTGTGCACAGCAATGGACTCCTATCTGGACTTCCTGTCCTGTGTGGTAGCATTCATAAGAGCCCTGTCTCGGGAAGCTTTGGTCGTGTCCTAAGGGTGGGCTTCATGGAAGTCTAGCTGAAGCATTAGCCACAGGGCATCTTGGTGTTCCGTGTACTGCTTTTTGGCTTCTGGTGAGTGCGCCCGAAGAAACATAGGTCAATACCGCCCTCTGGTGGGATTCTCATTAATAGCAGGAACCAGAGGGACCCGTGAAATTACAAGGCCCACTAAAGGTTTGAGGGTGGGAGACAGGGCAAGAGATTTACACTGGCCTGGCCCGTACCCACAATCAAGAGTACTTCAAGGAGGAAGCGAGCCTTAGAGAAAAAGACCTTTTCTCTGTTGCAATGGACATAGTGAGAGACATTTGAATGGGGGGGCTGTCTAAGGCAGCCATGTAGCTGCAGGACAGAACGGATCTGAATGCTATTCCTGCAGCTGTGTTGTCTGAGTGCCTTGATCTCGTGTACTGATTTTTTTTTGTATTGGGGATTGAATCCAGGGTTGCTTTTCCACCGAGCTACACCCCTAACCCTTTTTATTTTTTGAGACAGAACCTCACAAAGTTGCTGAGGCTGGCTTTAGACTTAGGATCCGCCTGTGTCAGTCTCCCAAGTCACTGGGATTACAGGCGTGCCCCGCTGCACCCCTATGATGTCCTTTACTTTTGGAGTCTCTGTTTATTTGTCTGTGAAATGGATTTTATGAGGATTGCATGAGGTAGTCTAGGAAATGCCTCTGAAGCAAAGCTGGCTGTGATTCCCTCCTTCATTTATTCAGCAATAAATGAAGGAGATCTGCTAGTGGCAGATCTGGGCTGGGGTCAGGACCGTGCACGTGCTCACAAAGCGTCGGGGCTTACACCCTTCCTGGTCTGTACCATTTCAAAGCAGCACCTGGAATTTGATTTAGTTGTAATTTGTCTATTTCTATTTTTCATGTAGTAAACTTACTTTATATACTATTACATTGAACACATATTAGTTGTACCAATTAGTGGGATTTGCTGTGATATTTTCATGCACACATAGGGTATCAATCATGCCCATCCATCCTTTTGACCTCATCTTCTCTCTCTCCCAATCAGCACCCTTCTCAGACCCCAGTAATCCTCTTAGACTTTCAGGCAGTCTTTACAAATATTTAAAATTTTTTTTTTCTAGTTTCCATATACGAACGGGAGCATGCTGTACTTGTGTCTGTGTGTCGGGCTCATTTTGTTTAAC